GGGGGACAAAACAAAAGTATTCAATACCCACCTATTAAAAAAAATTTCGATTTGCTCACTTACATATAAATAATAATATTAAAATGTATCAAATCAAAATATAATTTAAGTGTATTGATGTATGCTTATTGTAATGTCTGAAAATTGACCATCGTGTATCAATCAATTGACCACCTACCGACTAAATGAAGGGGGGCAGTTGCCACCCCTGCACCCCTAGATTTGCACCTGTGGTTATATCATTGTATACGAAAAACGATTCTGAGCGGAGACGGTAACGGATCTGTCTAGGATATATTATAGACTATTAAAAATTTTCAAATCTTAGATTTAAAAAGAACATTTTTTATGAATTTCTAGCTTAAAATAATTTGCAAATGTTCGTGATTTTTACGTGTGTTGTCAAAATTCAAACTTTGAATGCTTGAAAAAAAAAATTATGCATATATATTTATTTTATTTTGCAACTGCTATTGTAAAAATGTGATAGGAGCCTTATATTAAATTTTAAAATATAAGATTTAAAAAGAAAAACTTATCTAAGATAATTTGAACATTGCCGTAATTTTTACGTATTTAGTCAAAATTTGAATTTTAAATGCTTATAAAAAAAAATCGTGTATATGTATTTTTATAATTTTTTAATCACTATAAGAATGAGTTATGCGGAACTTTGTATTAAATTTTCAAGTATTTTGATAGGGCCAAAAACATTTTATCGACACTTCAAAAGAAAATTTTTCAGAAAAATTGAAAATTTCAGTTGTCTATAAATATCTCRAAAAAATTCAAAATATTTTGAAAATTAAATCATGTAAAGAAAATGCCAATCTAAATAACTGGTAAAATGACACAAAAAAAAAAAAAAATAAAAAACAAACATCATTGCAGTAAAATCAATACATTCATCACTCCGTTCAGAATCTAATAAAATATACATACCTATCTACCAAATCGTTACCAACACTTACAACCGTATAACATCTGATCTCTCTTTCGTTTAAATAATTTAATTCGCTATATTATATCATTGTTTGTCGTGAACCTGTTTGCATATAGTCCAAAAAAAATAATAACAATTATAATATATTACTATGTATCGAACGAGTCAGAATTTTTGTAAACGTTTCTCTTGCCTCGGGGCTTTGGTCATTTATACGTAAAGAAATGGAATTAAAGAATCTAAAAAAAAAAGCCGCTATCAATATAGTTCACCCATAATCGCGCGCGTATAAAATCGCATCAGTATTAAAGTCCATATTATACTGATCGTCTCTACGTGCAAAACCGTTTTAAAGTTTTATCGAACGACGCCGTTTACAGATACTGTGTACTGTGTAGGATAGTGTCGATTATTGTTTTAGTCCTTTTATATGACTGTGTTAAAAATCTTTAATAGATATTAAGATAGGGTATATCCACGGGAAGTTTTGAACATGGCTAGCCGAGGTATTAAACAACGAATTAAACACAAATTTTGAATCGTATAATATTATATAATAATTGATATTTTTAACGGGCAACAGAAGTGCACGGGGATCAGCTAATATAATATAAAACTATTAAATTAAAATGTTATCAGAGCCCAAAATAATTTATTGCTCTGAATATTTATCATAAAACCCCGTTTATAATAAAGTTAATATAACTCGCACCTCTTTTGGCTGAACTTCCGTTGAATAACTTTTTATCTTGAAATTCTATTACGGTGTTTACCATATTTGAATTTAAATTGACTAATTATGATTACTATTTCATTACATTGCATATGGATTGATATATAAAACTTATAGTAGAACTATATTATACATTTTCAAATAATACATTTTATTTTTACTATCGTTGAAAATCAAATGCTTGTACACATTTCGAATGCCATCCAGTTTTCTATTTACCTTTTTACTTATAAATACCTTACTATTCAGTAGGGAAAATGGTTATGATAACTGATACGTAGGTAATATTTATTGAATAATAAATACTCGTAACTCGTACCAACTATCTTCCACTACGTGATTTAAAAGTAAATTCAAATAACTTTTATCAATATAAGTTAATCGGTCGACGTTTACCGAAACAATTGTATATCGTATAAGTATGGGTTAATCCTTATAAGTTAAAAGGTATAGTTAATCAGAGTAAAGTCATTTGCAATTTATTTTACTTGTAATGCAGAAAATAGCGTTGTTGACATTGTTCGTTGTATTAGGGTGTTGTTCGACTTATACAACTAATATGGTCCGATCAGGATGAATTTATATTTGTATGATTTAAGTATGTATTTATGTATTCTAAAAATGTATCGTCAATCATTTAAATACCAGCCCAAATGTGTTTCGACTTTGTATTGTTATTTATATAATATTTTTGTTTCACGCAAATACGTAATAAAATATTATTATTTTGTGATACATCGATTTCGACGACGTTGTCAGTGCAATCGGTCGTATATAAATGATATTATTATGTGTGTCCAACGTAATATTAACAACAATAATGCGTATTATAGTGTTACTGTTTTGTACATATTATAAGACGTTAGCGTGCCACCGTATCGCGTTCACCTAGATCATTATCGTACTACGAGACCGATTACAACGACGCATGAGATATTATTATATATTATATTATTACGATATACAATTATACAAAGTGATTCAAAAAAGCATGCTCACCACCATCTTTTCTTTATCAAATAATTAAGATTATTTAAGACAATTTTTAAATGTACTCAAGTACCATTTATTTATTTGTTTAGATTTTTGTACCATTTAAGTTCTGTGCAGGTGACCCAAAMTTTAATTTTTTGAAAAATTAAATAAAATACAGCCTTTTTACATTGTGAATTGTTAAATAAATTATTATGATGAAATGTTGACGTTTCTAGATGAAATATAAACCAATAGTGTTTCTGAGTTATATTTAAAAAATGTATGTACCAATGATTTAAGGATTTATGGCTTAAAAAATATTAAACATATTATGTGGTACCGAATCTAGTATATTATATTTTACTTGGACAGTTATAACAAACTATAACATTTTCATAGAAAATTACTATAATTTATTCAAATAAATCTATAGCATCTTTAAATCGTACCTAATATTGCAAAACTATTATTTTTGGTACACAAAGTAAAAAGACAAAACTAATTTTGAATTTAGATTTAGATACATTAACGTTTTCAAAAGGCCATTTGATAAATAATATCTAAAAAAGTCGATTCTCGTTTGAAAAAAAGAAGTTGATTAACCAAATTATACCCCTTAAATGGTATACTTAATAAGAATCTAAGTAAATATTTATAAATATCGACCTAGTGAATACTTTAAAATCCAAAAAAAATCCAAATATTTATTATCAAATTAAAAATGGAGGTGAATCACGCTGTATTGTGTAATATTTGTGTATCTTCTGCTGCTCATCTGTCCTGTATCCACAACATTTGTCCGTTTAAGTATCATTGCAGCCACGTCTTTTGTTAGCATATTCTTTTTTGTCTGACTGTTGTCACGTGCGACATAAATTCTGCTATTATTGTTAATATGTTATATAGTTTTATTATGTCGTAGATTCGACGGTGCTTGACGACCATACTATATAAACGTCATCATAATAACGACATCTCCGACCTAATTTTTCGTTGCCGTTGACAGTACTTTGACACATGATACGCGCATCTATAATACATGCACCTCACCTGTTTAACATAATGTAATGCGTACGTGAATAAAATACCATATATCAATATAAAAATTGTAACTACTAAAATGAAACTTAGGTTACTTAAATCGTATAATAATAATAATCATATTATTATAATTCAATGTGTTGATAAATGAATTTTGATTTCAAAACTCATAATATAGTTTGCTGCGATCAGAATCACTCGTGTACAAAGCATGGGTTATATTATATTATATTCGAACTAGTATGTTTATGTTTTCAGCTAGAATCAAATTACTCAAAATTCTAAAAGGTAAAGTAATTTTTATTTTGCTTCAAAAAATCCAAAATGTTTTTATTAATTTTGTAGAACAGATTTTTAATTATTAAGTTTTTATTAGTATCTACTCAACGATTTAGAATAACAATTTTTTTCTCTTTACTTTTGTTTATATTGAGTATATTTATGTACGGGAATCATTTAATAAATCACCTCTTATAACTCAATGCACTGTTCATATAATATACATAAAGATATTAGTAATTAAATATGAAATGCGAGTATTTTATTTTGAACTTGAAAGAAAATTTAAGGTAGACTAAAAAACACCCATATTATATTTGTATATTTATATTATGTACCTATCATTTTTTTTTTTTTTTGTACTACCTAGGTAATGTTAATAACTATATAAATTATAATAACATATTTCACAAGTTTTTTTTTTATTAAATGCACCGTGGCTATAATTACTTGTTTTACAAACTTATCCTAAATGGGCTAAATGTATTTGAAGGTACATTTTTGAAATCGATAAGGATTACACATATACATGCAATTTTGTTATTCATAAATTATGTAAATTGTGTTAATAACATATACAATATACAATATACAATATATATATATTTAGTATAAATTATAATTTATAATATTATATATACTTTATACATTATTTAAATTTAATTCATGCAAAATATTTATAACTACGGTATTATTCAGTTTAATGTCAACAAATGGTTACTATAGTTACGTATAATATGGTCAATATGTATAAGATTATTGACCCCATATGTATGCAGTCTTAAGGAGGAACAGTATCGTGTTTCGTAGGTGCGTCATTATTATTTTTTTTTGTGGCCAGATAAACACTGATTCTCTCATGATCTCCATTATTTGTTCACTAATTAAATGATGGTAGTGAAGTCAGTATCGTTGGTTGAGTTAAAAAAACAACAATGGGCCAAAGAAAAAGGTAGGTAAAATATTTATTAAACCTATAAGCCTGCATTATTTTCAATTATTCGAATTTTTTTTGATCATTTTTTTTTTTTAGAAGAGCTTGTAAAATTAAACAGTTACTGGAGAAATCAAAACACGCCAATTGTTTTCAATGACCAGAGGTATTTCAATTTCAAATTAATTAATTTATAATCAAGGCATTTTACTAAGTATTATTTTTATTATTCCATTCAGGGGTCATGTTATTTATCCGGAAATACGTTCAAATGATATTGATCGTCTAGCTATATACAAAGATTTACAAACACAAAAAAATTTAAGTTTTCCTCCAATTTCTCAGGATAATCAAAAACAAAACTTACACAAAGTAAGATAATGTACTTCAGTCATTTGTATGACATTAGCTTTAATACATTCTTTAAATGTTAATTATTTATTACGAACTGCGCGAACACATCATTTATTTAAACCATAATATTATATACAGAATACCTACATAAATAAAATTGAAAAAGATCTAAACATTGATACTGGAGTGATGGATGATTCCAAACCAAAAAGCACTCATACAATGTAAGTTAAAAATAATGTATCTATAAAGACTAAGGCATTAAATATTAATAAATGTTTGTATATCGAATTAATAAACACTGTACATCAAAATAAAAGATTAAATCGGACATACACAATTTCAAAAGAAAACAATACTAATGAAAGAGGAGGAACACTAGAAAGACAAAAGTGGGATAAACAATATAATGCTTTAAATGGTGGATTAAACGATCAAAACTTCAATTCAAATGAGAAAAAATACTTAACCAATGAAAAAAATGAGACACCAACTTGGGTAGAATATTCATCAGAAAACCCGTAAGTAATGAGTAGATTTTACTAACTCAAAAGTTAGGCGAATAATATTTTTATGAAGACTGAATATATATTGGGTAGGTACCTTTAATAATTTATATTTAAAATAGTTCTGCAACCAATGAAATTGGAAAAACACAATTCCAAAACACTCATAAACCTTCAGATTTTGGAGGTAGCTGTGATACTTTAAGTTCATTAGATTCAAACAACGTTTATAACAGGTAACATACCTATATATAATACTGTATAACTATAGATATTTGATTGATTATACCAAAATAAATATATGCGACGAATACGTATTAATTATTTATTTTTTTATAAATATCATTAATACCAATAAAAATATTAGGTACATTATACATTTTTAAATTAAATAGTTTATAATATTTCATTATCATGTGTATGCATAGGACTTACTTGTTAGGGCAAAATATTCCATTAACCTCTGAAGAATTAGCAGCCAGAGAAATTAAAAGGCAAAAAGCAATGGAACTTCAAGAAGCTATAAAACAACAGGTGAATTGGACTAGAGCTTAAAATTTATAACGATAACCTATTGCTGTATTCTCATTATAGCTAAAAGAAAGACAATTAAAAAAAAAGGAAGAACTTGAAAAGAAAAAACAAGACGATTTGGTTGAAGAAAGACGTATACAAAGACAACAAGAAATTGAAAAAAAGCGGTTAGAAGACGAATTGAAGCGACAAAGGGAAAAAGAAGTAAGTCGTCAAAATATATTATGTAAAGCTATCATGAAGAGCGATAAAATATTTTCTAATGAGCTTTTTGTTTCCAAATAGTTGTTTGACGAACGCAAAGCAAAAGCAATGCAAGAAGTTTTGGAGAATGCACAAAAACAAGCAAAGGAGGACAAATCCAAACACATGCAAAAAAAGCGACAAAATCAGGAAGAAATCAAAGATAAGATTTCTACAGAACCTACAGTGGTAGTCAGTAACAGCAGTGAATCCTGTGAACCTAAGTGTGAAACTAAGTGTGAACCTAAGTGTGAAACTAAAATTTGCCTAGAACCCAAAGCACAACTAAATACATCGAGTCCAGTAGAGATTAAAGAGATCCCTAAGTTGCCGGACGTCGACGTGACACTTCAAACTTCACTCTCTCCACTAAACCACCAAAAAGTGTTGACACCGAGCAAATTTCGAAATCAGACTACTAGTGTTGCAATCCAAACTGACATTTTAAAGTAAATCTAATTTATAAATTTAACAAAAACGCTATTCTAAGACTGTTAAGTCTATAGAAAAATTACTTTTGTTTCAGGAAACCCGTGAAAACTTCAGTTGGTAATGCATATCAAAAATCTATAGATTTAGACCAAAGGCCTAAATGGGGAGTGAATCGACCAGAAGTACAGTACATCAAGCAAAGTGCCAAAGATCCGAATTACCAGTTGAAACTGAGACAAAAGTCGCCATGGACAAGACGGATAAATAATGCAAATTCAGCGAAAAGCCAATCACCAAACGTAAATGGACGAGCCGGGTAAACAATTTTAAAGTTACTATAAAATAGGAAAATGTATTAGGCCATTAGGTATGTTTGTTCATGTGATCGTGTGTATTTAAATGTAGCTTAACGTTTCCGGATAATTATTCAAAAAAGACGTTTGCATACGGCCGGCCAAATTTTGCAGGTGTGTTGTGTGAAAAATTCAAAATAGCATCTACTTATTACTCAAATTAGGAATTATGTATTAAAATACACGTTACTTTATTATGTAATGTTGCAGAAATGAAAAACAGTAATAGTGTTTCAAATAAAACTCCTTCGTTATCAGAAAGCATATCAGTTAGTGATGTGTTATACCAATTATCATCGTTACGAAAAGTAAGAGTACAATATATAATTCATAGTAATAAGTAAATATTCCATTATTATATTCGGTATACAACATTCGATTCGAATAAATATTAATGTAAACTTATCATCCACTAATGCATAAACAGGGTTTAAAATAACATAATTATGTTTATATTAATTTAATATAGGCTCACGAAAATCATTAATTTCAGGACGTTTTATTTTATTCAACGTAAAACGTTATTCATTTATTATGTTATATTATACAGTGTATAAAATATTACTGTATTATTAGATTTAGCTATTATACAATTGGTTGTGCGCGAGAAACCTCAAAACTATGTATAGCAGGTAACTTATTAATTGTTAATTATCATTTTATTTGTTTGCATACAGGTACTAGAAACCAAACGAAAACATTGGAAAAGTGTTATTGCTGACGAATCACCATCATCGGATTCTTCATGATTATTTAATATTAAATTTATATAGCATTAATATTATCTAAATCTTAGGACTTGGAACTATACATATAGAAGTAGAAAAAATGAAACCGTCAAACTAATTTCAAATATTAAAATACATTAATAACATTATTTTTAACTCATAAAATATGAAAACTACTTAGTTTAAAAGTTAGAATGTAGAATGTTAAAATGTATTTTTAATTAATTACTTTTCAATTTATTTTGTTTTCTTGTTGAAAAATTTAATTTTGTTGAATTGTTTATAGTAATAGTAGGTATAATTTGTTTATGTTAAAATGTAGTTCTATCATATAAGCGATTATTATAATTTAAACTTTTAAAATTGACAACCTTCGATTGTTATTTTTATGTCATATGTCCATATGTGTACTGATTATATAGTATATAATTGGTAACAACGATTTTTAAATACATAAAAATAGAACTTTTACGTTATATTATAAACTGATATAGTTAGAGCATGGAAAAATGTGGTTTTAAGTTCAATAAAAATTACAAGTAGGTAATTAACCACAGAAACATATTCATAAAATTGGTTAACATTTTTAAATGCACCTATTTATAAAATGAAATGTAACGTTTTCAACATTATATAATTGATAGATATATAATAATCATAATAATTATGAACTATCTTATTGAATTCTATTATATTAATTATTAATATATTATTATATCATACCTATTTATTAGGTATGATAATTAAACATAAATATATATGTATTAGTCTTATAAGGTTAGAAATAAATTAACAAATTATTGTAACATATTATACTAATTATCATTAGTTATTTAAGAAAATTTAGCTGTAATCGAACAAAATCATAAAAATAACTTGAAGGCCAAAATATCATATCATAAATTATTAATATATATATATATATATATATATATATATATATAATATGAAGTTATATTACATACCTAACTGTACCATATAATTTAATTAATATTTATTGTACACTCACATAATATATTTTAATATTTATAAATATTTAACCTTAAACTTAATATTATGTGAATAAGAATTTAGTTGTTACTTATTTTTTTCTGACTCATATAGGTGTTTATTATCGAAAATTGACTTTAATTACAATTAATTTTAAAAAATGAAAACGGTTTATATATTTTTAATAAAAAAAAAAAAACATTATTACATTAACGGTATTAGCTAAAAAATATGTTAAATAACATAAATAAGTTGTACTTTTTAAGTTCATACAGGAAAATATGTTGTTTACCTACAAGTTTTTTTTTTTGTTGACAGGCCAACTACATGTATGCATGAAAAATTATAACATATATGGGATTTTATTAAAACAGTTACAAGAAAATGGCTTCACAAATTGAAGAGTTTCTTGCTAAAAAGAAGGAACAAACTACATTATTGGATTTACATAACTGTACTGCCAATTCAAAGGAAGAATTAAGAAAACTTGTGGAAAAAGTGCCCGAATTCAAGATAAAGCCAGAAAAAGTAATTTTTATTACTATTTATAATATACTTTGAAATACATACTATTATATCAATATAGGTATGATACCTATACCTACATTATTTTATAATATTTGATTGCTATTATATCGTTTATCGTGTATAGGTAAGGTGTGTGTGTAATAAATATTAAATACTACAACATTTTTTGAAAAAGTCGTTGATACTCAAAATAATTATGCATTAATTTAAATAATGAGGTTAAAAATACAAATAGGTTAACACCATATTTCCAAACCACCTACATTTTTTTTTTTTTTGATCTTATAATGCCTATTTAATTGTCGATATTATATAAATATTAATAATTAAATGCATGCGGAATATTAGGTATATTGAGCAATACTGCAATAGTTTAATGATGTACCTATACCTACGTTTTACCTACCAACCTATAATCTATATCCTTATAATATTTTCATAATCATCTATAGCTATACTTAATCAAATACAGTTTATTAATTCCAACTATAGTTTAAGTTCTTTACATAATAAAATATTTACCAAAAACTGAATGACAAAAAAATACTGAATGTTGTTGTATTTTTGAGATACTTATAGAGATACCTTTAATTTGAAGTTATAGTATATTTAAAACTACAAAATGTTATCAAATTAATTAATTTAAAAAATGTTCTCGATTTTTTTTAGAAATTGAGTGATATTAAGATAAGAGAAAAAAAATTCAAATTTAAATTGCCTAAGAAAGAAAGTAAAAAATCATTTCCATTTGCCGAGCCAACCCCGTCAGAAATGAGAGGAGTTTCATTAGACGAACTGTACTCGGTAAATATCCCATGGAAAATGCTTACTTCTCTTCGACCAAAATCAAAAATTGATGAAGAATATTTTTCGAGGTAACGATTAACAAAAATTTACACCGTTTGCATTTTTTCTCGACGAATAGTTTACCCAATATTATAGGTATATAAATAAATAGATAATACATTTAATATGATAATAAGTTTCAATATCTAAAAATTCGATAGTTTCTTTTATATTTAAATTTTATAACATAATAAAATATATAACGTAATTTTAAATAACAATATTAAATTTTAAGTATCAGTTCAATTTATCTTTGTTAATAACTACCTATACCTTTATAGCTATCTATCAGTTACTGTAGAAAAAACGTAATGAATAATAAAAATTCCAAATTGTTAAGCCAAAATGTATTTTCATGCTACTTAAGTACTTTTGCATTTAATTGAGGTAACATAATTAGTCACTAATGAACTAATAGTAAATAAACTATTATTAGTATTGTTACCCATAGGCTTAGATTAAAATTTGGTTATTAGGCATTAATCAATAACAATACAAATTTGATTAAAATTAAAATTTGTGAACTCTAAACAAATGGAAGTACTCGAGTAGGTAATAATCTATTTATAAGCTAATAAAAAAAACTTGATAGTTAGGTTTTATTCTTACACCTCTAAATATTAAAATGTTTTCCTTGAAAAACCGATATTTCAATATTATTGGCACAATAATATCAGCTTCCGGCGCTTCCGCTAGACCCTATACAAGAAGTATAGAGATAGACTATATGTACAGCATCGTGACAGTGTCTTTTTCAAATACCTATTTCTTTTTTTTTCTGGATAAAATGTTAATTGTTATTTTGTTGTACTGTATAGACAAGTCGAACTGGGTACGGCCACGCTCAAGACCAGGAACGCGGAGAAAAAAACGCCACGTGATAGTTTTCTGCGGAAAAAGAAAAATGCGTCCGGTGGAGTTGAGTCGAAGTTTTTGTCGTGCAAAGAGTGTGGTATCGAATTTTGTACAGGCGAGAGCTGCAAAGTTTTCGATTACGATTCGTTCAAAAGGGTTGCTGTGCCTGCCGTACAAACGACCACCGAACAGACGCAAGAGCCCGCCGCTCAGGAAAAAAAGACGTCGAAAAAGAAAAATGCTAGTAAAGGACTTAAAGTAAAATCGCGAGGCACGGTTGCAGTAAACATCAAAAACGGTCTGGCGAAGAAAAACGGCGAGAGAATCATAATCGGCGTGAACACAAAAAAAAAAAATTCTACTGCTGTTCCGGATAAATCAATCACCGACAAGTCATCCAACAAAAACGCCAAAATAATTATAAAGGATAAATTACATTCATCGAAAGCTGATATAAAAGTAATAAAGGAAAATTCGATTAAAAAAACACGAGTTTTCGACAAAAAAAAGTCGTAAAATATTATATAAATATACATACAATGAGAATTTTCACATATTTCATTATAATAATTATTATTATTACGGAATAGGTACCTATCTACCTTTGTTATTTGTATTTTTACCAATGATTAAAAATTTTTTTTTTTCATAAACACTAATAACCAACATTATTTGCATACCTTTATGGCTTTTTACTTTATTACATAATAAATTGATAAATGTATTAAACATTGGTACATTTTGAATTATTTAAATAAAAATTAAATGCTGTTCGTTACAGGTAGGTAATTGCATCATGTTAAAACGGGTGAACCAATTTCCTCAATTTTATTTATGCTTGTAATAGATATAGTATTCCGGATAAGGTTTTTACGAAAAGAAAAATTTGAAAAGTTTCCGAACGAGTTGCTTACACGGTCAATGATTATTGATTGCTATTAGTTGCATCATTATAATATTAATAAAGGTAGAAGAAAAAATTATTAGAAATTATTATATTTTTTTTGTATCTATATGATATATGATTATTGGCTTGGCTGCCATTGGATGAGGTAAAAAACATAAAAATACCTATCAAATTGTCTCGTTTATGGCCTTTAATAAAGAAATAAATTATTATAATAAATCTAACTTACCTTTGAACAAATATGAGTCTATGAGTGTTAATTGTATATTCTTAACTTCTTTTCTAACACATCCTCTTAAGACCATTTCTTCGAACAAATTCGCCGCCATCTTTCTCTGTCCTTTGAAACTTCTTTCCATTGTGTATTTGGTTCAACTTCTTGAGCATCTTTTCTGGTACAATTCTCTCACCGTAAACGCGGTCTACCGAGGTAACGGTGTTTTCCCAATCGGATCTTCTTTCCGCATTAATAATAATAAATGAGCCATAATTGGTATGTTATTGAGCATTAGCCACATAATAAATTTAATTTTTTATGTGACACTAAAATATGGGCCAAAAAAGACTCCTTAAGTTTTGTACACCAAAATACCGGAATTTGAAAATATTATGACAGCGACACCGCATTCCAGAACATGGAAGATACATTATTTGTTTTATATACCAAATTTTAATTTGATTAATTATCAAATGTTATGTGTACAAATTCTTCTGGTCATAATATTATGAATATGAAGCAAAATATCATTACTGTATCAAAATATTCAAGACTTAAGCCCTTTTCACACGATGATAGTTATGGTACTCTATCTAGCATACTAACTTGTATAGTATATTGCGTGTAACCTAGTATAATAATTCCTGTACTAAATTCTATTCACACCATAATGGCATAATGTGCTATGCACTGTAAATTGTACTATGTGATAATAATAAATATATGATAACGAAATATACGAAAATATCTATTATCTATATTTCTGTAATTATATTCTAC